TGATTTGTAAGAGTTGCCATATAACATATAGATTAATTCATCACATATCTTGAATATCTATAAATCCATGCTTCCACTAATATACAGTACAGTTACAATCTCTTATAACATTGCCTCAGCAATGTAAAAAAATCAGAAAATGCAGAATGTCACATAAAATATTATTTTAATAAAATATGATTTACCCAATGTATCATACTTCTTCAAATTTTTGTTCTTTTCTAAATATTCCTACAAAAATAATTGACAGTGGTATTTTATAAATTAGAATGAATACTGCTATTTGTGATAACAGTTTTTTCTCCAAGTACAAACATATTTTGTAAACAGGAATACTTATTATGTCCTGAAACTACACATCATACAGTTTCAACCACAGTATATTAATTCTAATTAATGTATAGTTTTATTAACATTGGGCATAACCTAAGAACCAACATTCAAAATCCATCATCTTGCACTGGTAGGGTTTTCCTGTCACTTTTAGAAGGATATAAACAAACACATGATGAATGCAGACTAAATCTGAAGTACTCTGATGCCTTTCAAGCAAGACAATTAATTTGTATCATTAAACCATCAAACAATGCTGAAAAGGACACAAATTAAGTTAATATGGGATTCTTTATCAGAGTAGTACCATCCCTAAGAATAAGAAATTAATATTTACTATTAGACATGGAAAAGGTGGAAATTAGTTCTGGTTCCTCTTTTTCCATTTTTAATGACTTTCTATTTAAGTATGAAGATAAATATGTTCAGCACAAAAATGGGAAAACAGAGTGTTTTACAAAATTAGCAACATTGTAGGTGGAAACACGGTTACAACTCAATATATTTTGCAAAACCTTTGGTCTAATTCAATCACTTCTTTGTAAAATATAGATCCTACCAATTAAGAAGAGCAATTAATAGCAAAGGAATCTTATCAATATTAAATAAAATGTTATACAAAACACATAATAAGCACAACTTTTTGGAAAATAAGGCAGAAATAATAAAGAGAGAGATGAAAAAAGATTTAGATAATGTGGCATTACTGGAATTAGGAGAGAAAGAATTCTATTTGAGACTGAGAGCAGTTCCAGAGGAATCTGGTGAAAATATTAGGGAGTGGGTTGTTGAATCCTTAATAAAATTTTTGGAATGGGATGAAGAAGATATGGATGCAAAAGTGGACAACGTGTACAGAATTAATATAAGATATGCAAAGCTAAGAAATATACCAAGAGATATACTTGTGCACTTTGTCAGGAAGAAGACAAGAGACCAGGTTCTACAACATTTTAATACTAAGCTAAGGATTAACAACTCAGATGTAATACTGCTTAAAGAAATACCTATCAGAATATTGCATAAGAGAAAAGAATACACCTTCCAGACTGACTCAAACTCAAACAGAAAAAGATACCATTTCATTGGGATAAATTGAAATGAGTGATCTTAACTTTTAAGCAGCAGAGATTTTGACTTAACTCAGTCCAAAAGGCAAGAGATTTCCTTGAAAGATTTAAAGAGGAATTGGAAGAGATGCAAGTGGATCAAAAGGAAGGAACTATGCACCAAATACAGCAACAGAGTGAGGAAGAGACTACTATGCTGGGAGCTACTGGTATAGACTTTTCTAAGTTTAGAATATAAATATGGATTTTAAATGCCTAATGTGGAAATAAATGGGGTGAATATTCCGCACAAAAGAAAAAAGGGTATTATTTGAAAAAGTTAAAATAAGTAATTTGTTTACGGGAAACACATAAGAAAAAAGGACAAAAATATTTGATTTATAATAATCTGGGACAAGAATTTATTTTGGCAGGGAAAAGTAAGAAAAATGAAGTTGTTTTGTATATAAACCCACAATCAGTCAAATATTGACTAATAATTATGGCAGATATGTGGGGGCTGAAATTAATTTGAATGAAACCAAGGTTCTCATATTAGGAATATATGCCCCTAATGATAACAAAGCTATATTCTGCAAAGAACTTATGGAAAAACTAATAGACTTGCCATATGAAAATTGGTGTTTATTGGGAGACTAGAATGGAATGCTTTGCCCATAAAAAGATAGAATTTCTATGAAAGGAATTAAAACAATCTAATTTTTTGAAATGATGGATAATTTTGAACTTACAGATATGTGGAGATATAAAAATTGTGATTCTAAAGAATATACTTATTTTTCTGAGAGACACAAATTTTTCTCAAGAATAAGTATCTTTTGGATTTCTAAAAACCTTGTTACATGTGTTAATAAAGTGCCAAAGACTTTTTCAGATCATAACCCAGTGACTTTAATATATAAGAGGAAAGTTGGAACTTATAGATCGATGCTAAATGAAACTTTATTACAAAAGAAATCAATAATAGAGGATTGTAAAAGAAATTGAAATAATTTTTTCAGAATAATCTTAATAAAGACACTGACATAAGGACAGTATGGGATGCCAGCAAAGATTTTATGAGAGGCCAATTTATACAACAAAACAGTAAATTGAAAAGACAAAGACAAGAGAAGATGTAAATGATTTTAATGGACATAAAGATGAAAGAACTAAGGAGATCTCCAGGAAGGAAAAATGTCTCACAGCAAATTAAAATTTTACAATGCCAGCTTTCTATGTTAACAATTAAAGAAATGGAAATAAAAATGAACTTTGCAAAACTGAAGAACTTTGACCCAGCAAACAAACTAGGGAAACGGTTGCCATGTAAACTGAGAAAGGAAAGTGAGAAGAAAACAATATTAAAAATACAAAATGGGAAAACTGCAGTAACAAACAATGTAAGTATGCAAAGAATATTTCATCAGTACTATACAAAACTATATCAAGGAGAAGAAATCTCCCCAACAAAAGTGGATGAACATTTAAAGAAACAGAATTTACCAAAGATAACAGATAAACAAAAGCAGATGATGAATGGACCTATAACAGTAAGAGAAGTCTGTGAGACTACAAAAAAGATTAAAATAGGGAAAGCTCCTGGCCCAGATGGATTGCTGGCTTCCTATTATAAACATTTCAAAGATGAATTGTTACAACCTCTTCAGAAAATTATGAATTCTATTCTAGATAATGGAAGGATACTGGATAGTTGGGCAGGTGCAAAGATAGCATTGATTCCTAAAGAAGGGCAAGACCTGATCTTACTGAAAAATTACCAATATCTTTATTGAATAATGATTAAAATATTTACAATGATCTTAGCTGAAAAGATGAAAAATGCCTTGCAAGACTTTATTCATAAAGATCAATGTGGCTTTTCGTCTAAAATGCAACTAAGGGATAACATAAGAAATATTCTTAACATATTAGACTATTTGGAGCAGTATTATGAAAAACAAGCTGCGTTGATATTCCTTGATGCGGAAAAAGCATTTGATAATTTGAACTGGAGTTTTCTGTTTCAAATTTTAGAAGATATGGATTTTGATGAAAATTTTATTACATGGCTGAAAAAAATATATATTTCACAAGGGCCACAAATTATAGTTAATGGGGAATTGACTAAACCCTGTGAAATACAGAAAAAAACAAAAGAAGGATGGCTGCTTTCACCACTGTTAATTCTGGCCCTTGAAGTTTGGAACAGGGACATAAGACATGACGAGAGACTAACTGAAGTGAAGGTGGAAAAAGAAGTATATAAATTAAGAGCATTTGTTGATGACTTGGTTTTAAATTTGGAAAATCCTATGGAAGGAATAGAAACATTAATGGAAAAACTAAAGGAATTTGGTGCATTGGCTGGATTTAAAATGAATAATGAGAAAACAAAGATGTTAACAAAAAATATGAGGATAGAAGTTCAAAAAGAATTGATTGTAAAAACTGTTTTCAGATTGAGGAAAAAAGTAAACTATCTAGATATTACCATGACTAATATGAACACTGTATGTTATTTCAAAATAATTATATTAAAGTATGGAATGAAATTAACAGATTACGTTAAAATGGGAAAAGTTACAATTATCATTGTTGGGAAGAATTTCTGTGGTAAAAATAAATGTACTACCTAGATTGGTATTTTTATTTCAAACAATACCAGTTTTGAGAAATGATCCATCTTTTAAGCAATGGCAAAAAGATATATTCAGATTTATATGGCAGGGGAAGAAACCAAGGGTTAAAAATAAAATTCTCCAAGATGCAAAGAGGACTAGGACTCCCCATCTACTTTCCTGTCCAAACAAAGCCTTACAATCAGCCAATACCCCTTTGAACATAAAACACTTGCCCCAAGCCAGATTTGGACCCACTGGCCTAGCAGTCTGTCAGAACTCACCTCCTCCCCCAACACAGCCCCCTCTTACTTAAGGGGAGAGATTTAGTGGATGTTTTCCAACCAGCTAGTGGTGTTTGGTGGGAGAAGAGGGAAATAAAGCTAGGTAATACACCAATCTCTATTCTTAACGTGGCCTGTACTTTGTAAACAAAGGCAGTACCATTTGCTGGCTCCCTGGCTACGTCAGGAAAAGATCTGCCGGGGGAGCAAAACGTTATGCTGGTATAGCTTTCTGCCAGCTCAAGGACTTTTATTAAGAGGTGAGGAAAAGCCACTGTAACTTCCAGACACTTTTCAAGGGTAGCATCAGAGGGATTGGTGTCACAGAAGTCCAAACAGGATGATGATGATAGTAGCAACTAATCTTAATCTCGAGCTCTGCCATCACCTGCCATAGCTTCGTGCGAGCCATCAGCCACTACAGTTCCCTAAAGCAGCAACCGCTTTAGAAAAAGGCCCAGGTTCCCGCGCCGCTGCCATGGCAACAGCCAAATGGAAGGGAGAAGCAACCGCGAGATCCACAGAAGAAACTCCGGCAGGCGAACGGTCGACACAAATATGGACGCCCGGGGAAGACCGCGGCTCTGATTGGACGCCCCTGAGCCTGTCAGTCATGGCGGAGTGAGCGGGCGGGCGGACGACGGCGGGCCACGGCGCGTCTGGGGCGAATGGCGGAGGCGGGTCATGGCCGGGCGTGGTCGGCGCCTGTTTCCTTTTGCTTCCCTTCCGGGCTGCGAGAGCTAGCGAAGGCCTGGTGGAGCTGCGGGCGGGGACGGGGCATCCGCTGTCATTCAGTTCAGTCATTCTCTCGGTCGGCGAGGAAGGAAGATGGACGCGCTCGGCAGGAAAGTAGTCGTCTGCGACAACGGCACTGGGGTAAGGAAAGGACGGCTGGGCTTTTCGGGATGGCCGGTTTTGGTAGAAGGTGGGTGGGGAGACCCTCACGGGCATGGCGGCAGCAGCACACGGATGTGCCCTCCTGGCCGGACGGAGGTTGGGATGCGCCTCGTGAGCTCCCTCTCAAGGAAGCTGCAGCCCTTTCAGGGCGCTGGCAGAAAAACTCGACACCTTTCCGTAGGAATGGTTTCTCAGCTGGGGAAGAAAGACGCGTGAACCCCCCATGATTTCCCCCCAAAGGGCTCTGGGCTCCCGGCTTCTCATTCGCGTCCTGCCGCCCAGAAGATGCGGGGGCGCGTTTGGTTTTGCTTCCGTTCCCTCTGGCCAGCCAAGGGACGTGAAGGATTCATTCGCTCTCCCTCCTTTTCTACTTTTTTATCGTCAGCCCCTGGAATCCCGGTTATTATTTTTATACATATTTCAGCCCTTCCGCACAGTTAGCTCTGCCTATAACCTCGCCGTTGCGCCTTTCCTTCCTGCTGAACCCTGAACGGTTTCCTGTGTGTGTGATATGGTTTAATCTTTCTCGTTCATTCAAATGCTGGTGCAGGACTGTTTTAAATGCACCGGAAGTCGCAATAGAGCTCTGCATTGCTAGGACTTGGCTTGGGGAAAGGAAAAAAAACCCTGTCTGTTGCATGACGGCTTCTTCGCCCCACCTCCAAATTTTGTAGCCAGATATTCAAACGAAGTTTCATGAGTGTGGTTTTCAAGGCTTTTCATTCGAAACAATGAACAGTCAAAAGACAAGGAAAGTACCAAAAGTCCCAGTTAAAAGTATGCTCAAAAATAAAGGGGCTTTAAACATATATGCAAATACCCCATAAATAAATGAAGTAGCACATTTAAGTTAATCCCCACTTCAGCACAAGAGCTGGTTTTTGTTAGGTAGGTGCCATTGAATTGGATTCATTCCCTGGACAAATCCTTGCCATCTTGATCTACCTCCAGCAATAACCTGTTGCTCTTTTAAGGACAGTCCTTTCATTTCTTAGGTCCTTTCCATCTATCTTACCTCTTATCTTCCCCTTCTACTTCTTTCAACCTTGCCAAGCAGAGTAGCTTTTTTCTGGTATGTGTACTTGTGTCACGTGTCCAGAATATGTGAATTTTTGTTGCTGATAATCACAGTTTTTGTTTCATCCAGGACTGATTCTTTAATTCTTGCAATATATGTTGCTTTTTCTATTAGACACCTTATATCACCTGTCTGATCTTTGCCTTTTCTGAAACCTTCCTGTTAGGTTGGCATTTTTAAAGGTTTTGTTCATTCTTCTAAAAGATCAGCATAGTCTTTAAAAAGCAGTTTCCATTTTTTTCTATTGAATGCATTTATTGATGATACTATTGATTTGAGGAGATTCTAATTGCACTGAGATGTGCTGGAACAGAGTGTATGAATAGTTTATGGTTTTGCTTTGCATATGAGAAATAGGGATATTCAACATTGATACAGATTTTATGCCAAGCCAAATGCATTTTGTTTAATAAGTTAATTTGAATAATAAATAGGGGCCATTTGAAAAAATTAACCAAGGTTGACATATTTGAATTAATATTTGTTTAATGTTTCTGATTTTAAATGTTTTTAAAGTTTGCATCAGTCAAGCTTGCTTAATATCGCAGCAACATACACACAGGATACTTGATTTGCAGTTGAAGTATAAAAAGGTTTAAATGTCTTCTAACAGTCCAGTAATTATTGTATATTGTGTTAATTTTTCATTGTGCATATTTTACTGTTTACAAAGTCTTTAAATAGAGTCTACAAATAGAATCTTCTACAACGCAAATTGAAAATGTTTTTATGGGAATTCATTTGGATTTGATTGATTGATTGATTGATTGATTATGTGACATCAAGTTGGTGGAGAATCTTAGCAACCACATAGATAAACCTTCTCCCGCATTGTGTAAGGAAAGATTATGGGAATTATCCATAATTAAAATAGTCCATAATTAAAATAAATGACTATAGTCTGAATATAACTGTTGTGGGATACTGTGATGGAAAGCATGAGCGGGGAGGATTCAGGAATGGAGCTTCAAGGTTACAGAGAAGGGGGAGAGACATTCCAAGGAAAGCATTTCCTCAGCCCCCAGCTGGACTGTGTGAAAGTCAAGAGGAAGAGACTGGCCCCTCCCTAAGGGCATAATGGT